ATTAAAAATTTTTCAGAAACAGTATTTTGGAAATCTCGGAAACAAATACGTGCTATGACAAAAACAGCACTGAGAAATGCCACGTACAATTAAGATCCTATTTTCAAATACTTCAACTTAATTTCTTATTCTTTTTACCATTTATAGGACAAAGAAATTTAAAGTTATTCTTAAGATTTTATTATTTTATTATTATTATCTAGGTCAAGATACTCTCATGGAAAAAGTTGCAACAAAAAAAATCTTCATTTTGAACAAAACATTTATTAGTTTTATATTAAATATGTAGAAAATATCTCTACATTCATATTATCTGCTTTCATTATAAATGCCCCTAGATTCCTCAATATTCTTAGTTTATCAAAATTGTTTTCAGAGTTTATTTTTAAAGGAAAAAGAAGCTAACTGCATATAGTTAGAACAGATAAGCCACTAGGTAAAAACAATATTTTGTTTAAAATTTGTACTTACAAGTATATACACAATTAGAATTAGCTTACCCTGAAATATGGTCAAATTTAAACTATACATTAGATTTCACTAGAAAAGGACACACCACGCAGCAATTAAATCTTCAACTCTGTTATATCCAGATCGCAGTATCCTCACCGACCAGAGACCACCAGGGAGACCGAGTCACGCATGCAAAGGCAAAGGGCTTTATTACAGGCTCGAGCGCGGGCTCACAGACTTCACCAGCACGTGGATCCGTGCTGAGAGCCCCGAACAAGGGCAGAGTAGGGTTTTTATGGGGTTTGAGACGGGGGAGTTACAGAAGTAGTGACATGGAAACAGTGATCCAATCATAATTATTCAACATCATTGACAGCAGGTTTGACCATACACATTGTCTAGAGTATTCGTTACTTTTGGCGGGATCCAATTACAACATTTAGAGTATCTTTAAATTCAACCAATCACAGAGCAAGCCTAGGGTCTTGTTCGGCAACTAACAGGTTAACTTTAACATTAGGTAACAGGGTCCTATCTATAGTTTCTATCTCCAGGCCTCTCCCTTAACAATGTGGAGGGTAGTCGCTGGCCTTTCAAGATTGGGTGTTGCAAAGGTGATTACTCCTGCATTGGGCAATGTGTAACTACCTGATAGTTTCGGGGAAGCCGAAACTCAGGCCTTCTAGTTTAGAGGGGAAACTTAAAGCCTGTCATGGAGTCAGTTTGGTTTAGACGTTTAGACTTGTGGCCTTACAACTCATTATAAGTGTTCACATTTTCTACCATCCACTCCCCCAACTCACCAAGGCTTGTATTATAACCATTCTTTATCTTTTACAGTTTTTCCATGTATAGCAAATAACAGTGATATACCACAGGATAATACTGACATCATATTTTAGCATTTAATTTACAATAGATGCAAATGAAAAATACAAGATAATGATAGTGGTATATATTTAAGGTGTCCCATTTGATCATTTGATATATAAATATAGTGAAACAATCACCATATTCAAGCTAATTAATGTATATACACATATATATCCATCAACTAAGATAGTTACCATTTTCATTTTTTCTGTTGATGTTAGATCCTTCCATATCTCTTTTGTTCAGAGTTTCAATCATGAATAAGTGTTGAACTTTAACAAATGGTTTTTCTGCATCTACTGAAATATCACATGTTTTTTTTTTTCCTTCTATTCTGTTAAGCTGTTTAACATGTTGTGTGTGTTGAACTATCTTTGTATCCCTGGGATAAATCACACTTGGCCATAGTATATGATCCTTTAAATGTGCTGTTAAATTTTTTACTTAACTGCCAATACTTTATTAAGGATTTTTACAACAATGTTCATCAGGAATATTGGCCTATAGTTTCTTTTCTTGGAGTGTCTGCCTGGTTAGAGTATCAGAGTGATGCTAACTAACCTCATAAAATGGGTCCTGGGCTTTTCTTTGTTGGGAAATTTTTTTATTACCAAGTAAGTCTCCTTGTTATTGGTCTGTTCAGACTTTCTACTTTTTCCTGATTCAGTTTTGCTAGGTTGTATGTTTCTAGGAATTTATTCATTTCTTGTAGGCTGTCCAGTGTTGGTGTATAGTTGTTCATAATAGTCTCTTAATATCTGCTTTATTTCTCAGGCATCCATTGTAATATCTACTCTTTCAACTGATTTTATTTGAGTCTTTTCTGTCTTTTTCTTACTCCAACAGTTTGTCAATTTTATCTTTTAAAACACAACTCTTAGTTTTGTTCTTTGTTGTTCTCCATTTGACTCATTTCTGCTCTAACCTTAATCATTTCCTCCCTTCAGCTAATTTGGGCTTACTTTGTTATTTTTTTAGCTCCCAGTGGTGTAAAGTTAGGTTGTTTAAGATCTTTCTTCTGTTCTCACATATGTATTATTCACTAAAACATCCCTGAGAACTGCTTTTGTTGCCGCCATAGTTTTGGTATGTTGTGTTTTGTTTGTTCCAAAATACCTTTTAAATTTTCCTTTTGATTTCATCTTTGACCCAATGATTTTTTTTCCTTTTATTTTTCCTTCTCATATTTTTAAATGACTAGTTTTTTATGCAAGTATAATTAACATACAGTATTACGATTACTTTCAGGTGACAATGTAATCCAACAATGCTATACATTTCTCAACGTTCATCAAAATAAGTGTACTCATGGGGTGCCTAGGTGGCTGTGGGTATAGCATCCAACTTTGGCTCAGGTCATGATCTCATGGGTCATGGGTTCAAGCCACACATTGTGCTCTATGCTGAAGGCTCAGAGCTTGGAGCCTGCTTCTGATTCTGTCCCAGTCTCTCGCTGGCCCTCCCTGACTTGTGTACATGCACAAGCGTTCTCTCTCTCAAATATAAATAAACATTTAAAAAAATTTTTTAAAGACAAGTATACTCCCAATCACCTTTATCTATGTCACCCATTCCCCTACCCACCTCCTTTCTGGAAACCACCAGTTTGTTCTCTGTATATGAGTGTGTGTGTTTTTGTTTGTGTTTTTTTGTTTTATTTCTTAAATTCCACATCTAAGTGAAATCATATGGTATTTGTGTTTCTCTGACTTAATTTCACTTGGCATTATACCTTCTAGCTCCATTTATGCTGTTGCAAATGGCAAGATTTTGTTCTTTTTATGGCTGAGTAATATCCCATTGTATATATACAACACATCATCTTTATCCATCCATCAACAGACACTTGTTTGACCCAATGATTTTTAAGAGACTGTTGTTTACCTTCCACGTATTTGTACATTTACCCATTTTCTTCCTACTGCTGATTTTTATTTTTAATCTGTGGTCAGAAAAGATACTTAGAATGCTTTTGATGTTCTTAAAATTCTTAAGACTTGTTTTGTGACCTTCCATGATATCTATGCTGCAGAATGTTCAGTGCACCTTTAAGTAGAATGTATATTTTGCTCTTGGGTGGAAATTTCTTCATAGGTCAGTTAGATCCATTTGGTCTATAATGTTGTTCAAGTCAAATATTTCTGTATTGATTTTCTGTCTGGATGTTCTATCCATTATTGAAAGTGGAGTACTGTAATCCCCTACTATTTTGTATTGCTGTCAATTTCTGTCTTAAGATATGTCAATATTTGCTTTACATGTTTAAGTATACTGACATTGAGTGCATATATAATTTTTATACCTTTCTGTTGAAGTGACCCTTTGATCATTATATACTGACCTTCTTTGTCACTAGAGATAGTTTTAAACTTGAATTCTATTTGTTTCTGACATACATATAACCAACCCTGCTTTCTTTTGATCATTTGCATGAAACATCATTTATCATTCCTTCACCTTTGGCCTATGTGTATCTTTAATTCTAAAGTGTGTCCCATAGACAACATATCACTGGATCTTGTTTTTTAAATATATTCAGGCACTACAGGCCTTTTGATTGGTGAATTTAATGTATTTATATTTAAGATAATTATTGATAAGTGAGGAATTTATTATTGTCATTTTTCAAAATTGTTTTCTTTGTGCCTAATAATGGTTTTGTCTTTTCTACTCTTGTGCTCCTTTCTTACTGGATAATTTCTTGTAGTGATTTGTTTATTTTCTTCTCATCTTTTGTGTACCTGTTATAGGTTTTTGTCATGGTTACCTCAAGAGTTCTACAAAATATCTTATAATTATGACCTTCCATTTTAATTTAACTTTAATCATATACAAAAACACTAACCTTTTATTACCTCCAAATGCACATACAGTTTGTGTTCTTATAGACAGTTTGCTTCTTTTTAAATCGTGTGCCATTAAAAAATATTTTTACTGGGGCACCTGGATGGCTCAGTCAGTTGAGTGCCTGACTCTGGCTCAGGTTATGATCTTGGCATTTCATGGGTTTGAGCTGCGTCTGGCTCCATGCTGGTAGCTCAGAGCCTGGAGCCTGCTTCAGATTCTGTCCCTCTCTCTGTCCCTCCCTGGCTCACACTGTCTCTCTCTAAAAAAAAATTCTTTTTAACATATATTTTGAACTATTGACTTTCACATTAGAATTCAAGCAATTTACATACTATCATTACTGGGGCACCTGGATGGCTCAGTTGGTTAAGCATCCGACTTCGGCTCAGGTCATGATCTCACGGTTCGTGAATTCAGGCCCCGCGTCAGGCTCTGTGCTGAAAGCCAGCTCAGAGCCTGGAGCCTGTTTCAGATTCTGTGTCTCCCTCTCTCTCTGACCCTCCCCTGTTCACGCTGTCTCTCTAGCTCTCGCTCTCGCTCTATCAGAAATAAAAAAAACATTAAAAAAATTTTTTAAAGAAGGAAATTGTAAGAAACAGAGTTGTCCATTACTCAAACAATAAACCTTAAAGCTAATGAGTTCTTTATCACAAGAAGTATTCAAGCAGAGATGGTAACCACTTGATGGAGATTTTAAGGATAATTGTTACTGAGTAACAACTAACTACTAGGCACAGTAGATCCAAAGAGTACTCTAATCTTGTAATTATAAGAGTCAATGACTTTAAAATATAGGCAGTAGATGAACTATGTACATTTCAACTTACCTTTTTTTCCTCTTGCAATATTATTACTTCATAAAATCGTGGGAGATATGTGCAATAATTTTGCTGTTGATCTTTCTTGATATTAATATTTTCATAATGTGGTGTCTTTTTCCTTTAGAAAATTCAGAAAGAAATTGAGGAACTCTCCACTTCAAATATATAATTATTTATTTAAGCAAGGAAAATATTTTTACACTAACGTTTCCTGCTTAAAAAGTATGCAATAATGGGGAGCCTGGGTGCCTCAGTCAGTTAAGCACCTAATTTCAGCTAAGGTCATGATCTTGCAGTACATGAGTTTGAGCCCTGAATCAGGCTCTCTGCTGCCAGCACAGAACCCACTTCAGATCCTCTGTCCCTCTATCTCTCTCTCTGCCCCCCACCTCTTTCTCGAAAAATAACACGGTTAGATGGAGTCCTGGTTATGCCTGAAGTATTTAGTCAGAAGTGTAATGAGATGGAAAGAAAACAATCATCAGAAAACTACATACCTTAAAAAAGTTTAATTTGCTTCATGTTAATTAAACCTCACTAAAACTGACGAGAAAGTAAGCAAACAAACTAAACAGAGAGATAAGCAAACCAGCCAAACTGGGAGAAAAAAGACAAGATTAGAATACTGAATAACAAAAGCATATGTCAGGAGATGAGCAGAGTTAGTTAGAACATTTCATAGATTTTATTTTGTTTGAAAGAATGACAAAGATATTGAGTTTAGACCCCATTAAGCTAAATATACGTATTAAAGTTCTCATGTAACTGCTAAAGAATACAAATACAAGATGTACCTCTCATATTAGAAGAGTGAAAAAAAATGAAAAAGAAAAGAGAATAGGTATAAATTCCCCAGAACCAGAACCATGTTTTATTCTTTTTAGTTTCAGTTACTATGTTTAGTACTAGCACATAGCAAGCATTCAAACAATGTTTATTCAATGAACATCAGCAAGGGAGTCCAAGCAAGAGAGTCTAAGCTACATCCACCACTGGCATATAGATGAGTCTAAATCTGTCTAGGAAACTAATTAGATAGGTAATCACTGTGAGACTTCTTAGAAGAAAACTCATTCTATGAGGAAAAGAGAATCAGGCAGACAAGCTGGACCCTGTTTGAAAATTTTAATGATGAAAACTGATGACATGTTCTAAGGACAACATAGTATTGTTACTCAATTTTCTCTTCCATGTACCCACATCTAAGGCCTTACTGTAGGAAAAGGAGAGAATAAAGACAGAAAGAGTTATTTGCCCAGAAATTCATTTCCTACTTAAACTTCATAAATATAACCTCCAATCTGATACTATGGTTCTGACCCCTCCCAACCCCCCACCCCCAATGAGAATGGTTTATAAATCTATCATTTAGTCAGAAGAATGGACACCAGACCCAGGGACAAGATAAATAATGAGTCACCTTCTTTTATATATTCTCTAATCTTCTGTGTATATTTTTGTACTCAGGCACATGGGCTATACAATTATAAACAGACCTCAGTTAAAGTCTAGCTCTGTCACATAACAGCCACATGTTAATTATTCTTTTTTGACCCTTGCATTTTTCAGAGATAAAATATGTATAACAATAGTAACTACACAGGGACTTGCAAAGATTAAATGAGGTAATACAAAAAAGCAATAGTTTTCATATAGGCTATTCCAAAACATAATACTTCTGGAGTTTTTCATACTGATTTGTCCTTTCATAACAGCATGTCCTAAATTATTAGAATACTTTCTAGTCAAAAACCATATTAAAGGTATATTTCTTTTACTTACTGAACTATATCATACTGCCCAGGACCAGGCCCTGACTTCATAGGCAACTGGAGTCTTCCCAAAGCTTGGCCAAAATGTATCCCTTTGTATTTCAAACTTGCATTGGAAAAATCCTTAAAAAAATTAAAAAGTGAACATGAGATATAGTTTAAATAAGTTGTGAAACAATGTTTCATTTTATTTGAGTCTAAATCTAAAGCAAGCACAGTCTTAGTCAAAGGGGTTCCACTAACAAGTACTAGAGTCTCTTTCAACCTAAGTTATTGCCGTTGTGCCCCATCCCACTCCTGAGTTGGCTGGGACTCTAGGGGAGAAGTATCTCCAGCATTAGCATATCCTCAACCAATGTGAATGGCTCTGTCTTGGCAGTACACTAAGCAATCTAAACCTTAAGGGCAATAAAGATGAGCTCCTCATTGTTTAACAAAGGGAGGCTCAGGCAGAAGTGTATGATTTAGGGAATAGAAAGTCTGTTAAAAATGATCTTAATTAAATAGAAATTAACTTCAAGAAATTAAATTCAAATTCAAATATCACAAACAGATATTAGAGAACTTCTAATTACCTGGTACTCAAAACTATAAGGTACTCATGTAAACTTTTCAAAAAGTAGCAAATATATGACAAACAAATTAAACACTACCCCTGGTTCATTTTCTCAGTGCTTACGGTCCAGATCAGTTCTTTAATTCTAAAGAAATCAACCCTCATGCTTCCTTTGCATCCACTGTAATAAATGTCAGTTTTTTAAAATCAAGCTGATATAGTCACTTTGATTTTTTAATGTTTTTAGAGCACGCACAAGTCAGGGAGGGGCAGCAAAAGAGGGAGACACAGAATCTGAAGCAGGCTCCAGGCTCTGAGCTGTCAGCACAGAGCCTGACATGAGGCTCAAACTCACGAACCAGAGATCATGACCTGAGCCAAAGTCAGACACTTAACCAAGTGAGCCACCCAGGCAACCCAATAAATGTCAAGACTAAGCATGACCCTGAAAAGTTCACTTTAGAGAAGTTAAAGGGCCTGCTTTCATTAAAATTAACAAAATAATAAAATATAACATAAGAACAGAAACGTCTCTTACAGAAATTCTCTTTTGTTGACCTAATATTTTCTAAAGAGAGAAATCATTTAAGAATTTTTTAAATTGGGGCACCTGGGTGGCTTAGTCGGTTAAGAATCCGACTTTCGCTTAGGTCATGATCTCGCGGTTCGTGGGTTCGAGCCCCGCGTCGGGCTCTGTGCCGACTGCCAGCTCAGAGCCTGGAGCCTGTTTCAGTCTGTGACTCCCTCTCTCTCTGACCCTCCCCTGCTCACACTGTCTCTCTCTCTCCTAGAAATAAATTAAAAACAAAAATTTTTAAAAAAAAAGAATTTTTTAAATCATCTTTTTTTATTTTTTTAATGATTTATTTATTTTTGAGAGAGAGATAAAGACAGCATGAGCAGGGGAGGGTCAGAGAGAGAGGGAGACACAGAATCTGAAGAAAAGCTCCAGGTTCTGAGCTAGCTGTCAGCACAGAGCTCGACGCGGGGCTCGAACCCACAAACTGTGAGATCATAACCTGAGCCAAAGTCAGACACTTAACCAACTGAGCCACCCTGGTGCCCTTTTTTAAATCATTTTTTAATTGATGGTAAAAGGTAAACTCTATTTTTAATTCATATTTGTAAAAATATAGCTTTAAAATAAGCTTGGATTAATAACCTAATTTATATACCCATAAAAAATAAAATCCCCATAATAAACTTGTAGGTTAACTGCATAAAACAGTGTCACCTAGCATAGGTGGCTATTACTCCTAGAATAGTGGAACCAACCTCTCTCAATTATCATTAAAAATAATCATTAATGAGATAAATAGCAAATATTAATGATGGAAAGTACAATTCCAGTTCAAAATGGTGACTCAAACCCACATCTGCCCAATTCCTACCAAAATTTCAGAAGAAGTATATAAAATAGACACAAATTATCAATGCTAGAAACTCAGAGAAAGTGTCATTCACATTCCAAAACATCAATGAGTTTCTGGGAAATACAGCACAGCAGAGACCACGGCTAAAAAAGGAACTGATTGTACATGAAAAGAGCCTCTTCTGAAGCCTATTGATCATCCCTAAGAGACAGAAACTAGAGATAAGGATGTACCTGGGTGGTGATTAGGGAGTAATTCTCAAAACTCCTTATACCCTTTGAGATTTGTGCCAGGGCCATTACATGAAGCAATGGAAGACAATGTTAATACCCACTCTATTCTTGGCATGCATGGCTGAAAATAAATTTGAAGTATAGCCATTGCACCGAATGAGCACAAACTTTCTATTTAGAGAGGCACCACTCCAGAAAGCTTCAGGACACCACAACAAAATCCAAAAAGAATCTGGTACAGCACTAAAATTCCCTACTATGTCAAAATGCCATTTACTTTCTAGGACTTGCCATTAACAGCTAATCCTCACATGTTATAGAATACAAACACAATAAAACTAAACCTTCTCTTCTACACCCACCTGATCTTCAAGAATTAAAAAATAGGGGCCAACACAATCCCTGACAGAATTTTCATGTTTCCTTGAAGTGAAATGGGACCTCTGCTGATTCTTTTTATAGATCCAATCATATTGAGAAATTGAACTGCATTTTCTCTACAGGTTTCCCCTGCTTGATTTCCCTTGTTTGTTCCTTGCTTGGGGTAGTAGAGGATGTTGGAGCTGAGGGTAGAGAAACAAGGAGTTGATAATTATTTCTAAGTAGGATTCAGACATGTCTTGAAATGTCTGGTGAGCTGAAAGGGCAAACCAACCAGAAGGCAAATGTGAAAACAAATCCTATGGGAAGCTGCTAATCATAATGACTCTCACCCAGCAAGAAAACCTTACTGTCAAAAGAGTAGCAATGCGAAATACTGAATATTTTCTGTTGACTGAACTTACCCCTTAACAGTTCCCCACTAGATTTATGCAAGTGTCCTGTGGGTACAAAGAGGCTATGATAAAAATCTAAAAGATCTCTTTTTTAACACTGGTAAAATTGAGCGCTACTTTTAGACCCCTCTAATGCAGTAGACCACAACGACAGAAAATTATTCCCCCAACCTCAAGCTCATCGCGCAGCTTTAGCTGTGATCAAGTACAATGGTAGAAATGCCCAGCAGAGAGCACCATCTGGCAGGAGACTGAAGTGCCTGGTGGAACAGCAGCTGTCTCTGTGGAAACAGACTTGTCTGGAAGCATGGTCCAGACAGCCCCTGAGGACTCCCAGAAACACCTGGGAAGGAGAAGTTTGCAGAAGGCTAGAGGACCTCTACATCATTAGGAGGAGACAACATACTTATATTTGAGTTATTAACAAAATTGTGACTCTCTTTAGTATTCACAATCCAATGAAGTCTGGAAAAACTTGTTATATGAATAAAAAAGGATTAATCCTTATTAATCCACAAGGACTATTCCGAGCACTATAAAGTGGTCTCAATGTACTTAGATTATTAACGTGTAGATCCCTTCTAATGAATTATAACACAAAGAGCAAAGAGCATACATATAGAGTAGACACAAAACATACATATAGAGTATATGCTGCTTTGGCACTCCTGTGTATAACACAAAAGGGAATAAGGCAGTCAGACCATCCAAAGATTTTCCCATCTTCACTGTGGATGTTCAGCTTTAACACACTATGAAGCTATAACACTATAAAACACTATATCAAAGTAAGATGATATTATTACTATTATTATAGTCATAAGTAGGTTTTCTACTACTTATGTACAGACCATGCAAAGGCTTTGGATCTGGGTGCAGAGACAAATGCTGTAATACCGAGCAGAACAGACAGCACAGAAAAATGGCACAGCCTGACACGTCCAGCAGAGCTGCAGATGGTAGTAGAGGGATGCTGGAAGAAACCGTGGCATCCCCTAGAGGAGCTGAAAAGCAGCCTGTTCCTTCCGGCCAGTGGCGACTCCAAAGACTGCTGCACCCTACAGGGCTTCAGGAAAAGAAAGAATGGCAAGCCACGCAACACTTTCTTTTACTAAAGTAAGTGGTCTAGACGATCTTTCAGATGGAATTACCTAATATAGCCACAAATTTCAAAGTACATATATACGGTTTTGTAGGCAGAAAGAGCATAATTTCTCCATTTGTTCTGAACTTTATTTCTACTGAGAAATTAAGTCAAATTTCATAATTGTGCAGATTTTCGGAATAAGAAGTGAAGCACACAAATGTAGAACTTTGTTCTGATACAACATAACCATATTAAATATGTTAGATATTTTATATATTTCAGGTAGGAGCATATCTACTATTTTTATTTACTATAGCCTATAGTTTTTTTTTTTTTAAATCAATACAATCAAAACAGCATTTTGATAAATCATCTTACATTACTTTTTTGAAGCCTAAAAAATACATGTTAGGGTTTTATGCTAATTCTTTTAACATGGCACTTCAAGACCTTTTGAAGAATTACGTCTAAGAGACTTTCTTCAGATTAATTTTCACTGTTGTGATTTTGTAGTTCAACTGTTTTAACAACAGGTAATCCAGTAGAAGGGAAGATTATGCATATATGTACATACTCACCATTCAACACATTAGCAAAATCTTTTTCCTGTATATATACTAAAATTCATTTCACCTAAACCATGTGAATTGGCAACCACTTAATTCACTAACCTCTGACTGCAGAGGTTACTCAGGTAAATGTTCAATCTGAAATTTAATTTAAAAGCCTCTTAAAAATGAAACACGGAAAATGAAAAATAAATTGATGCACTCTTAACTCTAAATCACACTCTCTTTATGTCAAGAAGTGTTGACAATACCAATTTCAAGGTCATTGTCAACTTGGAAAATCATTAGCAAATAAAATATGACTTAATTGAAGCAAACTCAGCATGGAGCTGCATTATTTTAAGTGAATGTTGTAATATAACTTGAAGAAGAATTACTAACTGCCACTCCCATTGACAATAAAATATATGAAGAAGGGGCTATGCAACTTTTCCACCATGTCTTTTCCATAATTAAGTATGGAAATAGAATTTGTGAAGAATTAAAAGTCCCAAAGTGCATCCATTCAAACACTAATGGGCTGCTCTCC